TAGATATACCAAGAAGGTGCTCTCATGCTACTCCAAATAGGAGAAAATGCAATAATATATTTCCGGTTGCCATGGAAACAGTCAGTGTCCTGAGACAAGTGCTTAGGACTGCATATGCTAATCAGCCTATGATATAAGCTTTTATATATATATATATATGAGCATAAGAAACAATATAGGAGAGGTTTATGTCAAATTTTGTAGCCTGGTTTAAAATGTGTCATTTAAATCTGAATTTGGCAACCAGTTTTTGAGATTTCAGGATTCCCCCATTCACATAGATAGGACTTCATCTTGGATGTCCGAAATAGCTGCCCAGAGGCATTGCAAATATGGCAGAGTGAACATACTTTCCTTGAAAGGGACTTTGCTTTAATATCCCTTATATTGCATTTATAGATTTTTTTTAAAGTTACTATTTACCATAAAATTAAGAAAACACAAGAAACTGTATTTTCTTGCTATCCTCACGCATCATCTTAGCCATTCTAGCTAGCTTGTCATGTGCGCCCTGACAATCTCAAATGATCAAACAATCTTATGTACACATACAATGAGGCCGAATTTTAAGACCCTTTGCCTGAGATGACCCGCAAAGTTCTGACTTCCAAATGGCAGTGGCAGAACATTCCTTTCCCTGCCTCTGCTTGGAAGCTGAGAGAAAGAAGTGCAGCTCGCTGCTCCCGTCTGGGCTTTATACAACCACCCCCTTGGTTGTCAGTCATCCACACCCAGCTATGTAAGAAATGTAACGTGTGTCTCATCCTCTCTGTGTAGCAGACAGCATTCTGGCATTTAACAAACATAAACAGACCTTATGCAGATACACTACATCAAAACACAGTTACTGGTCTGATGTGTTCAACACAGCTTTCCAAAAGTCTTTGTCATTCAATGGTCTGCAGAACCACTGTTTGAACTCTGGCTCTGTAGAAATCCTAAATTAGAGGATTAAAGACTGAAGTTTGGAAAATCTTCTAATTGATTTTGACTCTAAGTTCTGAACATGACCAATGACCGTAACCAATGTAAGAGATTCTCAAGGGTTATTATTGTAATTTCATTATCACAGATATGCTCTATAGCAGGGTTCCTCAAATCTTGCCCTGGAGGGCCAATGCGCTGCAGAGTTTAGCTCCAACCCTGATCAAACTCATCTACCTGTGATTTTCTAATGATCCTGAAGACACTGATTAGTATGCGCAGGTGTGTTTGATTAGGGTTAGAGCTAAACTCTGCAGGAAAGTGGATCTCGTGGGCCAGATTTGAGGATCCCTGCTCTATAGGCTTAGATGTTTTAGGGCCTAATAATGTGAAAATCACAATGGATAAGATATAGTATAGGATGTTTCTTGAGTGGCAAATCAGCATATTATAATGATTTCTGAAGGATCATGTGATCTGAAGACTGGAGTAATGGCTGCTGAAAATTCAGCATTACCATTACAGGAATGATTATATTTAAAAAATATATTAAAAATGAAAACAGTTACTTTACATTGTAATAATATTTCACAATATTATTGTTTAAAGAGGTTAACCAAACCATTTGTAACATTTTAAAGTTAATTAACCAGACTTCTATTACTTAGCATCCAAACACACAAGAGACAGAAATCTTAATTTTTCTTTTTATGGAGAATGTTTTCTTTGGCCCACTTTATGACTCAATGTAATCCATATACAATTATGGGTATTTACTGTCTGTCAGCAAATTATTAAATGTGAATTTAGAGTAATAAGCTTCAAACTGAGGTGTATTAACTTATTGGTTGAAATTTTTGTTTGGTCCTGATTGTAACATGATCTTTTGAATCTGGCACAAGGCTGGAAAACAGTTTAATACAACCTTTCGTACAGATTTCTCCAAAGACATTCCAATGTAGAAGCTTTGGAGGTTCATCATTAACAAAGCAAGTTTTGCCAAACAGTTTTGTGGAGTTAATGGCAGGGTGTTGTTTATAAAGGAAAGGATGGGCAAATTTATTTTTCCTGATCTTACATGCATCCTTCAGCCTTGATGCCATTTATAAGCTTGAGGAGCTTTCCTTGGCGGATACATTGTTACTTTGAACATTCTCAGATCATATGCTCAACAAAGGTCTAGTAATCTCAGTTTATGGAGTTCTTTGAATGCTTCATGTCACCTTTCCGGGAACTTTTTCCAGCATATTACCAACTGGAGCTGGAAAGGGGAACAAGCATTAGAGCCTAGAATGGCTTTTTGTTGAACACCTATCCAGACAACTTACAAAATTAGGCTTCTCAGTAATGATTTTGGCTTCTGTTAGAGCTGTCTCAAAGAAATTGTCCTTCAACGTTGCAAATGACAAAGCACAAAATGTCTATCTAAAGAAATTATTAGGCTAAAGCCAAAATTCCTAGAATGCATTTATTTGGGAAAACCATAAATATTAGCCAAATTTAACAATTTCAGTATATGATGATGATTTTCACATCCCATACGGTAAAACATACATTAATATGTTTTTGATATTCGGCCATTAATAATAACTATTCATATTTAACAATTTTTTTTTACATATTTATATATATATATATATATATATATATATATATATACAGTATATATGTTTGTATGTATATTTTAAGACCATTTAGAAGTTTTTCATTGTTGGATTGTAACATTATGTTCATGACAGTTAATTACCGTATCCACCTTATTTTTAACGTAAGTGAGGGGGACGGACATTTTTAACTCAAATGTGCAAGATTTCCGGTGTTATTCGCTTCCAGTTATTTTAGCAGTACAAACACAGTCCGTGTGCTGCTGGATATTGCAAACGGGTATTTTTTGTGTCATATATATTTTTAAATTAATTGTGGTAATCATTAACACACTGGTTTGTAGCGCAAATAGTTTTAATGTTTACTGCACTGTGTCATTCTTCTAGTTATTTACCTATAGCAGCTACTGAAGAGGAAGTTTCACACATTCACAGTATATATGTTTGTAATATGGAATGGGTTGCATGATGAATCTGTTAGATGGACGCTCAAACTGAATTTTAGACTGATTATATCAAGAATTTTTTAAATAAAGCTTGATTATAAAGCAAATACATGTTGCAGTGCTGTTGCTCAGTTGCTCGTGTCACAATCGTTGCATGCGGTTAAGGCTGACGTGGAGGTATGAGTCACCAGATTTTGAACCGTTAATTTATAATCATCAGGTCAGATTTGGCCAGTTTTGTTCCTGATCTTTGGTTTTAAATCACTGCTATCTGCCCATCTGTGTCACTTTACATTGCCACCAATGGCTATGTAACACCGTATGGCTATGACAAAAACCAAATACGTATAACCAGTATGCATTTAATTTCCTGCATTATTAAGTTACAGATATTCCAAAGTCTTTGTATGCTTCTCTTGATGGTCAGTTTCAATCATAATGGTAAATGTAGCATTTGTTGCTTTGTACTCTTACTCTTACTTGGCTGCTGCCCAAAATTATAGTCAGACCAGCTAAACCACAGTGTTGGCTTCAGGTAACTAGTGGGAGTTCCTAAGCAAGAAAGAAAGAGATACACAGGCATTACCTCAGCAGAGTGATATAATTGCTTGCAATATGGCTGAACATAACAAGAGAAAGTTTATGCAGTGAACTTGGATGCTAGATGGTTACATGAGTACTCATGTTTTCAGCAAAACAAGAATTATCTTCTTCTACTGAAATTTAGTGATTCTGCCTTTATTTTATGGGATGTTTGAACTATAATGTAGAGCATTTAGCAAAGGTATAGAGCATTTAGTTTTACTCACTGTTTTGTGAGTTAAAGATGACTAGCTGATCTTTGTTTCCATGCGCCAATTAAACACATCATCTGCTTGTATGGTTATCTCTGCAAATTAATCTTTCTTTGTATCTCCTTTAATTTTGTCATTCATTAATTTAATTGTTCTTAAGCTTGAGCACAAGTGTCACTAGCATGACTGGACAAATTAAGTAGGAGATCTCTGGAATAGTAAACCAGAGATAATAGAGAGTTTTTACCATGATTCACTAACAGACAGCATACTTATGACCTATGTTGACTTATAAATCAGGTTGATGGGCTGCTGCTTAATACCAAACTGTAGACATCCCCAAAGACTGGATTGGAATTTAAATAGCTATAATGATGAAATTTCCTCTACTTAATGGACACTAATCAAATTTGCTGATAAACAAACAAAAAAAAATCACCCATTTGTTCCTTAAGAATTTGAAATGTTTTGTCTTTCGCTTTTTTTTCCTGAGTAGAATGCCAATGCAAACATTATTTCAGAAGACTGTCACTTAATTGTGCTATTATTACTTAGCTAAGAGCAGAGTACTACTTTCCCACACCCTTAAATGGGTCTCATACCTCTCAAAGATGAGTTTACAGCCAAAATGGAGTGGGAAATTATGAAAAGCAGCAACAGAATAGCATTTATTAGAAATAAATAACTTAAAATTCATATGTCAACACCCTTTAAACATTATATAACAAACATGTTTATTTAAAGATCATATGTTAAATATATATATATATATATATATATATATATATACACACACACACACATACAATATATATAGTGAATTAATCCTTTCATTTATTCTGATTTTAAAATGTACTAAATTTTACTCAAGCTTTGTTACTAATTACTAATTTTACTCAGGTTTGTTTTTCTAATTCCTATTATTATTTAGTAAAATAATAATAGGAATTAGAAAAACAAACCTGAGTGAAACTTGATGAGAATACACATACAATATGTATATATATCCTGTATATATTTACAATATTTACAAACTGAACTCTAAGTTAGGTGTTTATACATTTGACAATAGCAATATTTAATAGCTTGAATGTATAAATACATAATATATAAGACATTCAATATTAGCAAAATGCAATTAATTTCTTTCACAGAATAAACTGCAACCAGTAGCATTCATCAATGCCAAGACATGTCTTGTAAAGACAAAAAAGGCAAGAAAGTATCATGCAATTCATAATTCAATCAAAGGATTTAGCTCTGGCTTTGAGGAATGTGACTTTGAGGTTGTCAGGAATATTGGACCAAAGGCTGCGTTCAGCCAGTAAACACCTTTGAACATCTGCAAAACAACATCTAAATTATTCTTCAACCAAAAACTACTGGACACACAACCTGTGAAGGCAAATTCAACTTAGAATATATATGCAGTTGAATGTGACACCCAGAGTTTATCGTTTGGCAGCAGGACATTTTTTGTGTTCGTTTTTCCCATAAAACGTTGTCTTCTTCATTTTCACCATGACCATTGCCAGTAAACTTGGTTCTAACATCAGTTTTGTCAACTCACAAGACTGACAAGCTGTATGCGAGAAGAAAAGGTCAAAAGAGGAGTTCTATTTCATTATAAAAATAGCTGTGTTCACGGGATAAATATGATTGTTCAGAATTAATTTCATTTCCCTGTTTTTCTCCAAGGCACTTTTCTTGGTTCTCTTTATTTCTTCAGGTCTGTTGAAATCTGTAAAAGGAAACAATGATTGACATGAGCAAAAAATTACTTCAACACAATAAGCCTTAATAAAACACCATGGGATGCTGGTAAAACGTCTGAAATACATACTAGAAATACATGCTGGAGGACTGATGTATGCAAAAATAAAAGGGGGCATTAGAAAGTGCTGATGTTATTTATTTATTTATTTATTTGTTTGTTTGTTTAATAATAATATGTTTTATTATCCACCTAGATATCTCATGTTTTATGACTGCACGCCTTTTTTTTACAACGCAATTATAAATGCAAGTTATAGCTAGAATTAGTTTTTACAAGACAGAGGATAAAAAGATCTAAAATAAACCTAGTGATTATATAGTTTATGCTCCTCAAAGGCACAATAGTGTGGGTACAAATCAACACAGAAGAGCAAATTGTGCAAGACAGATGGTGAAAGGACTGAAGGTTTAATGTTACATTGAGAATTAAAGTAGTGTCATTAAGAAAGGGGCCATTGTCCATAAGTGTGGCTCATAAACTTCAAATGGGTAACATGCCTTTTACAGTCAATTGAGAATGTAATACCCGATTATATTCATGTACTTTCTTTGACAGATGGTACTGGTGCCACAGTTTGACCTGTTTTTGATTTTCTTATGTGTTTCTGTTCAATTAGAGGAACATTGCAGCATTTAACTAACTTAAATATTTTAGATAATTATCAATCTATTTGTATTTATGTCTATTTCTATCAGCCAGTCAACTCACAGACCACCTGGAATCTTTCACAGACCACATTCTGAGAACCTCTGCACTAGAAACTCCACCAGAACAGCCTTTTAGCTAAAACGTGAAAACCCTTTCATTCCAGTCAGGTGAAGTAAAAGCTAATCTGTGTACTCCGTAATATTAGAAAGGTCATAAAACAGTTAGGTGTAATATTTCTCATGTAGAGTTTCGTTTAATACTTCTGTACGTAGATTTCACTCTGTGTGTGTAACCAGAAACTGTCTATCATGTTCTTTTTTTAGAATGTAGTAGCAAGAACGGTGGGATGATTGTCTCCTTGAAAATAAAAACAAGACATTCGATCACTTAGTGTGTGTTCTAGGCAAATATTTCCATAACAAACATTTTAGCAGTAATATATCACACAGCGGACACAAGTTTTCTATTAAATCTGTGTATACATTAACTATTCACCTGCAGCATCTATCCCTCTGAGCACTGCTGGCTCCCTGCTAGTCTTGTAAGAAGCCTGGCACATCTTTTATAATCTAGAAAAAGACAAAAGAGGGTTAGACAGATTTAAGACGTACCATAGAAAATCATAGTCAAAATAGAGTAAAAACATCATCAAAAAAAAAAAAATAAAAATGTGCATGCAAAATCATTCACCTGAATACATGGCAAAACAGTTCAGATCAATCATTAAAATTAGGCTAAATATTTCACACACTTCCATAGCTTCTGTAGTCATGCTAATGGTATTCAATGAGGTGGCACTCACAGGCTGGTATTGTGCAGTCCCTGGTATTATGATACAGTTTGTAAAAGTGTTTGCTGCATTTGGGACTAAAGTAAAGTGGCCCTGAAAATATACAAAAGACAGATTTTAAATTGCTGTCAGTTCACAAACATAATGAAGAAAGTGCACAGAGATACTGACACTTGCTCACCTGTTAAATGTTTTAAAAACTTCTCCTTCTCTCGAAGATCTCTCGGAAAGACCTCTGTTAAAATGGAGAAATTCCTCCGGTTGTAAATTATTGTACAAAAATGTGATTATTATTTATATTTGTTGGTCACAAGACCCAACAGATCAAATAACCACTACTGTATTCCTACAAGTATGGAGCAGTTCTCATTAGTGAGTGAATGTGGTGATGCTTACCAAGAATGCGTTCGTGCTGATATGACTTTGTAACTTTATTAACGTCTTTTGTTTCCACCGAGTGCTCAACGATCTCGAGGGGATGCTGTGTGTTTCCCTCACTGTGATGCTCCTGTGCTAGTCTCACTCTGTCCCTTAGGAGGTCCAGCAGAATGGTGTCGTCCCTGTCTCTTGGTCTGCAGTAGCTGGTGGTGAGGATCAGCAAAAGGAGCCCTATGAAGACAGGTGTGCGCACTGCACTCATGCTGAAAGGTGGGCAAAGAGAGCCCCTCTGCCCAGCGTCCAGTCGTATAGCCCTGCAAACACAACAAGATCATTTCAGTGCCCTGGCACTTATACTTGATTCATATAAATCTGCTTAAAGTATGCCATGAATATGTAGTTGAAACATAATTTCTAAAAACTTTGAAAGATTTTAGGTTAAAATGTATATGAATGTACACTTAAATGAATTTGTACAATTATTGTATTATATTATGTTATTATATTACAGTATGTTTTAAACAAATATTCTGTGAGTCTTTCAGTTAATGCATTGAAAAAAAAATCTTATAAAGTCTTAAATTAAACAGATTATTGGAGTATGTTAAAAAAAAAAAACTTTCTTTTTTACTTTAAAAATTAAATTCAATGCGTTTAATTCAATGTGTTACTTGTTTTCAATGAATAAGGTCGTAAAAGCTGCATGAATAATAATTATAAAATAATTAGCAAAAAGCTGTTTAAATTAGTTTTAGATCACATACAGCAGGATGTCAACTTCCCACAAGTATTTTTGTCAACTACATCCTGACAAATACTTAAGGTTTGTTAATAATTGAATAATATCCAGCTAAAATAGGCAAGCAGAGTATATTAGCACTATTATCTCTCTCCCCTTAATATTAAGTTGTAATGTGCAGTAAATTAACGTGCAAGTTTTCGATTCACTTAAAAACAAGTAATTGTATCTTCAGGCACTGTCCGATATCTCTAAGCGATCACAGCATCACACCGATCCACGCAAGAATCCCGAGTTTTCTCCACTTTTACGCACGAACGCTCTTGCGCAAAGACCCTTTGGAAACAAGTGTTTGTTTGAAAAAGTAACAAATTACCTGTTTTTCTTCAATTCAGATTTAGTTTACACTTGTTTGACAGCCTTACCGCCTGTTTAAAGATTACTAATGTTAACGCAAAACACATCAAATAGACTCCGCTGGCGTCGCCTCTCCAAAGGTACTTCCACAGGCTCTAGCGCACCATGACACAAGGAGAGCGAGTCTCTTTTATATGTTTAAAGACAGCCGTGGTCATCTGTTGATCGTGTTGACTCGAAGTGGGTGGAAATTGATGTAAGTCCGCAGCTTTTTATTTATTTATTTCCCCCTCCGGTGCGTAAAGTTGCTTCAGATCATCCGGCATGGGTTCCTCACTTTTTATTGTCAGTTGCAGACGTAAGGAGCTGTCCCATGTGGATTACCCCGGCATGTCTTTAATTAGAAACGCGTTAAGAGCACTCCTTAAAAAATGCATTTTAATTTTGTTGGATCACCGTCTCGGAACGCGCATCCTCCAGTGGTCCAATTTGGCACGAGTAGAAAGATTCTCACCAGAAGTGTTTTCTCTGTCCTAATGCCTCTTTGTACCTTCTTATGAAGTACGTGCGCGTGGTGCTTCTCTCCTCCTTTATTTTTAAAGTTTCCCCAAAGAGGATGCTGCAGTTTTGTATTTTTAGCCCAAAATATCAACAGAAACCATCACGGTAAGAGCTGGAGTGTGAAGGCAGAATATCATGGAGACTATCCATAGCAGCGTCTATGAGAAGACTGAGGCCTTCTCTAATATTGGTTTCGTTCTCAATCTCGACATTATACCACTCCCTTTGAGTATAGAAAAAAACATCACTCATCCTTTATTTTTAACGTTTCCCCAAAGAGGATGCTGCAGTTTTGTATTTTTAGCCCAAAATATCAACAGAAACCATCACGGTAAGAGCTGGAGTGGGAAGGCAGAATATCATGGAGACTATCCATAGCAGCGTCTATGAGAAGACTGAGGCCTTCTCTAATATTGGTTTCGTTCTCAATCTCGACATTATACCACTCCCTTTGAGTATAGAAAAAAACATAAAGAAAGAAAGACCTACAAATTGGAACAAAATGCACAAGAAACCCACTAAACTTGAAAATTTAACTTTAAAAACGATAAATGATGATAAATTGCTTATGATGTTCCTCATTTATAAGTCGCTTTGGATAAAAGCATCAGCTAAATTAATAAATGTAAATGTAATTTCTTTCATAAATGTTTTAATTTAAATCCAAGTCATTCCAAAGTGACAGCATGCAGTTATGAGTTCAGTGCAATAAAAACTCATAAAAACTAGTAGAAATTATTGT